GTTTGAATTTTGTCGGAAGATAAAATTCGTATCATTAGCGACTGGGTAGCAAGGGGAGAGCAATGATTCGGGATTTTAGGACGGAAAATAATTTTTCATCTTTAAGACAGCCTAAACTGTACTAGGAGTGATTCTCCAAACACCAAACCATTCAATGGCGTAGAATCCAATTCCTCTAAAACGGTTGGCAATGAACAAATTAGGCGGGTTTGTGACTTCTGACAGCTGCTTACACTGTACACCTTTTTCGTCCTTTGTATGACGATAAACTACATGCAACACTAAGACCTCTGATCGGGAGATTGGAGCTTTTGGGGTGCGTGGAACCACCATTGAACTGCTGTTCTTCCCAGGCCCAACCTGATCCGGGATGATAGCAGCTTTTAGGATTCCAGCTATGGGAAAATAGTGAACTCTCCCCCCAAGAAAACACTATAAAATTTTTAAAATATATTTTTTTTTTATAATAATAATACCATCAATACATTTTTATATAAAAAAAAATCACCAAAACAAAACACTATAAAATTAAAAAATACTACTCTATAATAACAATACCATCAATACATTTTTATATATAAAAAATCACCAAAACAAAACACTATCAAATTATAAAAATATATTTTTTATAATAATAATACCATCAATACATTTTTATATAAAAATTCCCCAAAACAAAACACTATTAAATTATAAAAAATACTTTTTTCATGATGACAATACCACTTTTATATAAAAAAATCCCCAAAACAAAACACTATCAAATTATAAAAAATACTTTTTTCATAATGACAATACCACTTTTATATAAAAAATCATCAAAACAAAACACTATCAAATTATAAAAATACTTTTTTTCTAATAACAATACAAGCAATACATTTTTATATATAAAAATCACCAAAATTACATTTCTAAAACAAAATACTTTACATTTTTAAAACAATACTTTTTATCTGTAGTTGAAGGAATACAATTGCATTTAAAATATATTTCTTTTAAGCCATAAAATTGTGTACAAATTATTTAGATTTTGGCTTTAAATAACCTATGGTGGTCGATATGCCGCTAAATAAATTCAACCAAACAAGCAATATGAAAGAACTTTTTCATGGCAATCCGTATAAGATCCGCCAATTTCTTCAAGAAATCAAACTGTATACCAAAATATAAATTCAACAAAACAACAACATACAATACACAACGTCTCTACTAATTATGTCCACACAAGTATCTATATGTACAAAATCTGTGTATTGTGTACCATGTATTCAATTGTGAAAACAGAATAACATTTTTATTAGTTCCACGTTCCCAAGAAAATTAAATTTCAGCATGAAATGTCTCATAAGAAGTTGATATGCCGTTAAACAAATAGAGCGCTGAATTAATGGACTCCTTTATGACAATGAACAATATCGCTACACCTGCCGTCGACTGAATCTCAGAAAAATAAAACATTGATGAGTTTTCCTATAGCACAAGTCAACCGATAAAATACCTACAACAACGTAGTATTCACTGTGTGTCTTCTTCATTTATGTAGATTGTCTCTGCAGAAAATAGACTATCACAGCTATCCACAACTTCCTACCGTTTATAACTCGAAGTAATATTTGTTTCTTAAATATCTCTCCTAGTTCTTGTTATGACATCCCTTTTCACAGCATTGTTATGTCGACCTCTGTTAGGTTTATCTCTCGCTGCTTTGCCTTCAATATGACTTGTGTGCGTCAAATTTTTTCAGCCTTCTTTCTCTAATATGTATCCTAGAATGTTCAATTGTCACTTTCTGTAAAATATTCCATGTGTGATATTCTTTACCTTACAACTCCTTCGCTACTCACATAAGTCCATGGTATCCTCAGCATCCTTCTGTAGAAGCATATTTCTATTGCTCTCAGTCTGTTCTTCATCTGTGAGGAGATTGTCCAGTATTCATTGCCATAAAAAAAGAACTGATATTTCATAAAAGTTTAATACTATTTTATAGAGTTTTTTTCTTGTTTTCTTAATGCTTGTTTAGCTTTTAAAATTCAACATTGTCATTCAGGATATTAACATATTTTTTCGCATAGATATATATCTATCACGGATGAATTCGAAAATAGAATTGTGGCGTAGATTAACTTATTTCAGTGAGTTTTATTTTTAAAATTTCAATGTTTATTCATCTTTGGTATGCTAGGCCAGAAAAAGAAAATATCTGTCGCTGTGAATATATGCACGGAAAATAATTTAAATATATCAAATACTAAATACTATGAGTAGTGGACGGATTTGAAAAAAAAATCATTGTTATTAGTAGAATAGATTAATATATAATTAATGTATAAGATATATAATATATAATATATGCAATTAATATATACTTATATAAAAGCAATTTAAATGAAAGTCTGAAATTCAGATTCAATTAACTCATTATTGAAAAACATCACTTGAACGTTATCTCCATATATTTAAAGCAGTTATACAGCTTGTTTTCCTTTTAGTTCTTCACACTAAATTGAAGTCATTTTTAGTGGACCCAAGACAATTAGAATAAACAAATATCAGTCCGAGATACTTAAAAAAAATATAAAATTATTTCAATAAGTGCATAGTTTTTTCATATATATATATATATATATATATATATATATATATATATATAGAGAGAGAGAGAGAGAGAGTTGTATATTTAGGCAGCAATCCTTCGTTTATGCATGTTTTGTTAAAAAGGACAGACAAGGTACTACGGTTAAGCATTTATTTAATTTTTCTGGACAAAGAGTGTGTAAAAACTGTCCAAGTTTTTTATAGTTCCGAGCGCTTTCGGCTATACCTTTAGCCATTATCAAGGATGATTCGATTTTACAGCTTAATTGAGTGTATGCATTATGTGTATGTTTTCGTGTGTTGTAGTGATGTTTTTATTTTCAGAATACGGTTAGCACATTGTGGCTTTGTTCGTAGTTAATATTGTTAAGAGTTGTTTTTTTTTTTCTTTTTTATTATTAAAGCTTCCATTATTTTTCATCTTTTTTTTACAGGTGGATGCAGTTAATATATTTGTGTTTTCTACTAGTATGTTTCTAATGGAGTCTGGTAAGTTTGTGTGTACTTAAATGGGTTCTAATGGACCTGTGATATATATATATATATATATATATATATATATATATATATATATATATATATATATATATATTATTTTAAAAAAATATGATTCTTTCACTACATAAGAGTTCTATGTTGAAGAATTTGGCTCTAGTTTTTGAAACATGAGAACTCTTATGTAGCGAAGGAATCATATTTTTAAAAAGTAATTATAACTTAGGCTCTACTTTTGTATGGAGCAATGTTTTTATTTAAAAAAACCAAAAAAATTACTAAAGAACTCCGGATTATTTACCTAAAGTGTTCTTTCCTATTTTTCTATATATTTACATACATACACACACACACACACACACATATATATATATATATATATATATATATATATATATATATATAGCTTAAGAACGGGTGTGCAGCATATACAGACATCTCCTGAAACCCATAACCATGAGTAGATGGAAGCTGCATTTGGTTGTGCTAGCATAACGTTACAAAGCATCTTGACCGAAGATTTGAGTGTTATGGCGTTGTTCAAACTGATGAAAGTAAGATCTGCTCTATAATGACCCTCTAGCGAGGGTAGACGGTTATTATATATAAATATATATATATATAGGTAATTATATATAATGTGACTATTGGTTATGAAAGAAAGAAAAATTCAGTTGTTGGGACGAGGAAAAATTTTGACTAAGTTTTTTTTTTAAAACAGGAAAATAAAAACGAATACCTTGTAATTTACTCCCCTTACAAATATATGTATTATAATATACGCAAATAATACTTTAGATTACGTCAATACTTTAAACTAAACAAATGAGTTAATCAACCACGGAAAAAAAATATAAAAACATAAATAAATATGCAATTAAATAAATAACAAACAAATTAACAAGCTACGAATGACAACAAACAGAAATGCTCGCTTCGGCGCATTTGTGTTTGTTGAACAAACACAGAGCCAACCTGTGGTTTATACTGCAACTATGCTGAGCAGACCTTAGTTACAGTTTCTGTGAGAGAGCGTTTTATCTATCGTGATCAACAAGGCTAGTATTCTCAAGCCCTCGGCCACGATGACTTGTAACATCGTGATACCTGAAGGCAGCCAATTCACTCACAAGGCTTGGGTCAACCCGTGGTATGGTTTTTAGGCACTTTCCGAAAGTGACGCACGCTGGGAAGTCTCCTTCCTGACAAGATTCGAAACCGGGTCTCATGCTCAGCATGCGAACGTTCGAACAATATATATATATATATATATATATATATATATATATATATATATATATATATATATATATATATATTATTCACACAAAAAACAAATGCAAAGGTTAATGATTTAATTCGCGAGAAATCCATCGTCGTAAACAATTCAAATAATATACAAAAACCTCCGAATCCATTATGAATGAAATGATCCTTGTTTCTATAAATTTCTACCGTATTAGTTCTTATTTTTTTTTACTACAAGCTTTCGTCTGTTCCTACAGACATCTTCAGGTATAGAATAGATGTTGTTCTTGTTTTTTCTCTTAGTAATAAGAGGACAACGAAAATATATGTATTGTTGTATCCGAAAATGCTATTGGAAATGAGTTATTGTTTTTGGAGCGCGCAGGTATGTGTGTGTGTGTCTGTGTGTGTGTGTAACAAGATTTAGAATACGGATTTTTTTTATTCAGTCATCTATCGTCCAATTAGGAGATTGGCTAAGTCCAATACTTCTCGTTAAATTTCTCTTACCATTCGTTCTTGTTTGGCAAATATTGATAATACACATGGATTATATTTCAAAGCGAAACACGAATGCAGGTGAGCAGGTTATAATTGCATTTTCTTTCAATCGCTTGTGAATTCTATTTTGGCCCCCCAAAAATAAATAAATAAAGTCACTGTTGAAAAAATAGAAAAGCCACAACAAAGGAAAATTCATGGGTGAGCGTTAATGAAGAATAAAAATGCATACGAAAGGATGAAAAAGAATTGATAAAGAAGAAGTAAAGAAGAGAAATGAACACTGAAGTGAGAAAAAGGAAGAGGGGAAAAAGACAAAGACGCAAGGAAGATATAATATCAATGCATATAAGTGTGAAAAACACACCTTTTTAATTTGACTAATTACAAAAACTCAGGTACGCCATTTTGATTCGCTCACCAGCTTTCCCGCCAAATATCTATTTTGGCGCTCTTTTGGGTAACCTAATTGAATCAGGCTAACAACTTTCTCCCAGATTAACACCCATGCAGCATGTACAATTTACTAGCTAAAAGGCATGAAAGTCTGCGCATGGGAAAATATATTGCTTCTGTTCTAAACATTACTGTGCAGTGGACACTAGATAGAAAGTGATATACATATGAACAGACATAGATAGATAGATAGATAGATAGATAGATTTGAACAAACATAGATATGAATAAATATAGATTGATATGAACAGACATAGATAGATAGATAGATAGATAGATAGATAGATAGATAGATAGATAGATATGAATAAACATAGACTGATATCAACAGAGAGAGATAGATAAATAGATAGATACATATGAACATAGATAAATAGTTATGGGCAGACATAGATAGATAGATAGATAGATAGATAGATAGATAGATAGATATATGAATAAATAGATATGAATAAACATAGATTGATATCAACATAGATATGGGATAGACATATAGATAGATAGATAGATAGATAGATAGATAGATAGATAGATAGATAGATAGATATGTTTTATCTTAATTTTGCTCTGAGAATTTTCGAAAGCGTTTTATAGAACGCTTTCGGATATTCACATAACCATTATCAAGATTCAAGATCTTAATTGTATTTGTTGATTAATACATAAAATATTTTCATAGGACATGCCATGCCACTTCTGCGGTGTCGAAACACCCTCATTTCCTCCGTGTTCCAAATTTAATAAGAATGTTCTAGTCAGAAAGAATTTGGTGGTGTGTCTTATCTATTTATTTAAAAAAAATATAACTGAAATGATAAAAAGTGACATAAAAAAATGTAAAATTTAAAATTACCAACGTCTCTCGTTCGTGTGAATGTGTAGTCGAATCAATATAAAATCCTAAAGGCAGAAACGCATAACACCAATATATATATATATATATATATATATATATATATATATATATATATATATATATATATATATATATAAAAAAGTGAACATTGAAGTCAACACTTAGAGGTGACAGTCTATTTCATGCTGAAAGCAAGGTGACCTGAAGATTGCGTTCAGCATTAAACAGACTGTCGCCTCTAAGTGTTGACTTTACTTTTATATTACACACACACTCAGAGAGAGAGAGAGTGTGTAAATATAAAAGTGAACATTGAAGTCTTTCTCTCTGATATTGAGCACTTTATCCCATAAATATAGCACACCTTAAAACTATATTTCTTCAGATCTATCTATCTATCTATCTATCTATCTATATATATATATATATATATATATATATATATATATATATATATATATATATATATATAATATATTACCACCAACATTAAGTAAGTCCTATCATACACACACACACACACACAGAAACACACAGACACAGACACACACACACACACACACACACACATATATATATATATATATATATATATATATATATATATATATATATATATAATTCACTTTGTAAATTTCGTTAATATTCTATTTAGGATACCAACGATTCTTTTGATGATGTACTGAAACGTTTACCTTAAAGAAAAAAATCCAGTCTGGATACATTTGTCGCTGACATATTTCCCGCGGTCACCAACGATGGCCTGTCTGTATTCTAGTTTATTTTGACAGGAACAGATAACTCATCGTCTTCTACTCTCTAAGCAGATTTTTTTTTATTTAAATAATGTAAACAGTCCACCAAAAACGGATATATAGCAGTTCAAAAATCAGTACACTCCTCGAAAAAGTTGATTTCAATCATTCAGTAAGTATATTTTCAAAACAAACTGATATTTTAAGCAAAAATATTGGGTACGAATAATGAGAAAATTAGAAATTTGTAAATGACCTCACGACCTGTTTGTTATATATGGAAACTGTTGCGTGAGACTCCCCGAAAAACTCAGATGCAAAAGACGCAAAATGAGATCAAGCCTACGGTAATATATGATAACAGAAAGAATCCAATTTTTAATAACTTCTTTTTTCCTTCACTGGGGTCTAGTATTCTCTCCAGTAATAGGTAGATGTCACATAATTCCTTTCGTTTTTCTTGCTTTCGGCGAGTGACCGCTACGAACGTGATTAGTTAGAGTGGAGCGGCTCTTCTCTCACTCTCATCCCACAACGGGACTCTACATATAAAAGGCTACAACCGGAAATTTCGAACACCCGACTAAGTGTCACTTGACCTCACAATTTTTCATTTATTGTTTTCATCCCTTTCGGCTAAGTGGGTTGCCGCTTTGAAGACAAGTATTCAAAGCCTTTATCGTTCGCCACCCCACTAAAAAAATATCCGCGACATCGACGCCGATAAAATCAGGTAGGGTTCACATGACGTCCATTGGGTTCAACCGATGGTGTGGGTGAATCCACTGTGCCAGAAATGAATTAAAAAAAGTGCGTCCCATGAATGTTTCGATACCCACGCTCAAACCATTTCTAAACAAAATAGACTTATAGGGCCGACGACTGCGTAGGAAACGGCTACTAATTTCGAAACAATAATATGTTTGCTTAAATTTTCCACATGAGAATAAAAATAAAAATTAAGTTATAGGAGAGCATACTCTGATCGATAAAATAATAACCGAATTATTTGAATTTGGCAGTATCCGCGGCATTTGGTGGCATTACGGCGAAGTGTACATGGAAAATTGTTTGTTACCAATAGTTAAGTATGGTGCTGAAAACATCTTGGCCTGATCTTGAATAAGCACCAATCGATAATTACGTGAAAATATTGAAAGAAAATATAATGTCTACAGACAAGACTTTACGAAGAATAACTATTTTCAAGCATGGTAATAATCCAAAACATTCCTCTAAGAAAACAAAAGAAAAGGCAAAAGGTAAAAATCGTTAATTAGCCTAGCATGTCATCGAAACTGAATCCAACTGGGCACTTGTATAATGTACTTCAACGAAAAGTAGAAAAAGCAACGACTCTCCAAACGAATTGGACAGAATTGAAAGTCTGCATCATTTTGAGTGGAAAATATTTGCAGTGATTGCGAATGTCTGAAGCGATGAATATTAAGAAATCTACAAGCAATAAAAACAACTACCACATTAAATATTGATTTTAAATTGTTGGTTCCACTCTTGATAAGGAATGACTGCAAAACACTGCCCCACACAATTTATAGGCAGAAGCATACAGATACATACTAGGATTACTTCCTACGAAATAAAATAGGCCAGTTCTCAGTTTCATCTGAATCAGTCCCGGACTCTCTTGACTTGAAGACTGAAAGCCCTTTTTTTCCCTTTCTTTCTTTTATTTTTCTTCTTATTGCTTATTACGAACTTTGACATTTCTATTTGTTGGGCAATTCTACTATTTATTTACATTTAACCATGGCGTTTTACTCTACAGGTTATAAACCCAGCATGCTACCAATTCTTTCTTTGGTGCATATTGACTTATGGACTTCTATATATTCTTACTTTTGGTTATAACATGTCAATGTTATAGAATCTGGTAATGCCTAATAATATCCGCTTCATTGCATTTTTGTGCTCGAACTAGTTGGGCTTGGAGTTTTGAAAACTGATAGAACATACTGAAGGCAAAACGGGCGTAGGGTACCTCGTACTAGTTGGGTTTGGAGAAATAAAAACTGAAAGGGTGGTATATACAAGAACAAAAATTTTATTGGTTTTTCAAAATTCTTCAGTTAGGAACGCTCATAAATATTCATCAGGTTAGCTGAAAATGTCTGCGCCCAAGAATTTTTCCAATACCCTCCATTTCTAAAAGAACTGCTACTTTCCCAACCCAGGACTAAAAAAAAAAAAAAAAAGAAATGTTAAAAAAATCCAAAGAAAACGGTTCAACCCATCTACTCTTGTTATTTAAAATTGATAACACATAAATTAATTCCAAATTTAATTAATTCAAATGCCAATTTGCACAAAATTTCTTCCCCGAACCCCCCAAAATAATTCAAAAACATCACTTACTCACTTTCGTTGATTTAGACATTCAATCGTATCACTTCGTGTCTCCCATAGTCAGCCTGACGTTTTAGCTAACGTGATGAATATTGATGAACGTTCCTAACTCAAGAGATTTGAAAACATTTTTGCCGTTCTATATAAATACTTGTTACAAAACAAAATCCTTTTATTTGCATTGATAAATCCCCCCCCGCCAACAGAAGACGAAAGACGTCGGCTAAGATAAGTTTTCCTTTTGTCTTTATTATTCATATTGGCTTTTTACAGATATACTCTAGTTGAAAGTTTTACACACACACACACACACACACACACACACACACACACACACACACACACATATATAAATATATATATATATATATATATATATGTATAATTTGAATTTCTTAAAAATATGTATACATCGCGACACAGAATTTACCATGTTTCGAAACGCAAAAAGTTTCATTTAGGATTTTAGTTTTGGTTTTCAAACACGGTAATTTCTGCGCCGTGATGAATACATATTTTAAAAAAAATAAATATAATATTATGCTCTACCTTGTATCGAACACTGTTCTTTAAAAAAAAATGCAAAATAATTCTGGATTATAAATCTGAGACTTCTTTCTTTTTATTTTCATATATATATATATATATATATATATATATATATATATGTTTGTTTGCATGTGCTATATAATGATATACACACATACACACACACGCGCACATACACACATACATACACACACACACACACACATATATATATATATATATATATATATGCGCATGCGTGTGTCTACGTATTATTCATTTGTAGCGTCTTATCTCGTCTGTTTAAACGTAAACTACATCGAATTTCATTATGCAAGTCACTCTTTTCAAAACAAAATTCCTAT